TTCCTTCGAAGTGGTGCGTTCGGCTTCACTTGTCTCGACGCTTGCACTTAATGTGGCTTCTGAGCTATAAGCCCTCCACGGCAACGTTGATTTTTCTGTTATGCTTGTTGTTGGAAAAGTTGCTTGCGGAGTGGTTGAACGTATTTCATCGCTGGCGGTTGCAGACATAGAGTAGTCCACAGTCTCGGAAGTCTCAGATTCAGAAAGTTGAAAGCACCCTCTCCGTAGAAATCTGTCTTGTTGTTGTTCCTTCATGTGATGACGAATGTTCAGATAAAATGGTAGAGCTTCTCAATGTTGAAAGGCCACCAGTTTCCTGCAACGAGCTACTCTCCACAGTGCCTTCTGAGGACTGACTCACTCCTTCAGATACGTCACTTGTTGAGATCGAAGTGCTTCCTGCACTTGATTTTGTTAGTGCTGAAGTGCCTCTGGTTGTCACTTCAAAGGCTGTAGTTGTCGTTGTGCTCTCCATAAGGGTCTGCCGGGAAAACTCGCTTGTCTTCATGGTTCTTGCAGTTGTTGGGCGGTGACGAAATTGTTTGTTTCGAATATGTTGTACTTTTCACTCTTGCAGAGCTCGGTGTTGACAATGAAGAGGATTGCACTGCAGCGGAACTGTGTGATGGACTTTGTTCTTTACTTGCCAGTACAGTAGTCTTTTCATTGGCAATCGTGGTGAAGACTGTTGCTTCGAATGTTGCAAATGTCCATAGTGGTTTAATCGGCCATACATAAATAGGTTTCTTGCTCGGTTTTGTGCTTCCCGTCCCTGTAGATGTTACGCTGGTTGCCTTTTCAGGGACTGTGTAGGCTGAAGAAAATAGAGTTTCTGAAGAAGGCGAAATAGGTGGTAGTGTGTGCAGAGTTGTCTGTAGCGTCGATCGAGATAGGTGAGCTGCTGAGAAAGTGGTTCTCTCAGAAGTCCCATTATGTGGGGCTCTCGTGACACTGTTAATGCTCTTGCTCATACCGCTGCTAGTTGATGTTGTGGAGTTAGACAGAGGAACAATCTTTGCCGTATGTCTAATTGTCGATGCTACAGTGGTTGAACTGGGCAACAGAGAAGTTGTAGACGAATAACAGTGCCGTCCTATGAAACACTGTATTCCGCATTTCAGAAAGGTGCAGGTGCACGTAATGACTAGACAATCGCTCTCTGGAGCCAAATCCTTTTGTATGGAATGAGGTGCTTCTGCTTCTCCGCATACTGTAGAGCAAGTGCTTTGGACATAGCTATCAAACCAGCCAACCAAGAAATACCATTGACTGTTAGTATCTTTGTGGCACTTCACAATATGTTTCTGAGTACATTCCTTCGTTGCAGCTCCTAAAAAGTCAGATTGGAATCTTTAAAATTTCAATAAAAATATTTCATTTGTATGGGACCTACTTTTCACACGTCCTCCTCGAAGGCTCATTCCACTACTCGTCAAAGCTGCAGTACCAGTAATGCTGCAGACGACTGCGATAGAAATGACGACCTCCAGAACGCCTAAATTCTCATTGCTTTTACCGTTGATTTTCGGGCTCACTTCCATGCATATGTGCGTACGATGGATCATTCATTTGAAGAGAAGCCACGCGATTCTATATTGTGGACAGTGACCTTCAGTTAGATCACCTACAACCCCTAAGTGCCTTTTCGAGGAAAACAAAGGAGAGAAAGTCATTGACAACACCATGAGTAAGGACCCTTGGTAGCACCGCTACATGAGTTCTCCACGCCTGCTCCTTTGACGGCTGCGAAGGGATATCCTGCTGCCTCTGAATACACCACTCTGGGATCCAAAAATTCGCGATAGCGGCGCCATTTGCTCGGCGAGGATCACGCCAACTTGTCGTTGAAGAGTCGTGTGCTGCGCGCGGCTCTGGCAGAATCAAGATAGGGAAAATCTTTGCCAGTCCTCGTGACTCTGTTTCGACTTTTCAAGCGCTACCTGTCGCAATGCAAGGCATCCGTCTCAAGGCAAACCGGTAGGACTGCGTTGCTGTGCAAGAAGAGACACCTGCACGACAATGGTAGTTATCGTCGTTCTGCCTGCTGTCTGTAGTCTACAAACTCTTCTCATGTCACCACGAAGAGAATCGGCAGAACACTGCATGAAGAACAGCAATGCGCAGATTTTCCAAGATGATTGAGCAGATCGATAACATCTATACGGTAACGAAACTCACCGAGGTATTGCGAGAGTATAAGATGCCGTCATTTCTCATATTCATCGACTTGAGAAAAGTGTTCGACTACGTCGAGACAGAGAGCCCTAACTCAATAAAGCCCGTTTCCACATCAGTTCTAAGCTCTGCAGCAACTTCACGACAAATATTTCGTCATTCTACGAGGAGATCATCATTGACGTGAAGAGAGAGTTTCGACGCCAGGCGCACACCATCCCTCACCCAGTCTCTGGTAGAATGCGTCGAACGGACCCGGGAGTGAAGATTGCCGTCTTGGCAAATCATCATGCTCCATGCCATTGCACGACAATTCGGTTTGATAACACCAAACATCGAGGCAAGCCGAGGGCCGGTGGCTCCGCGCGAATTTCGCCTGCTTGTGTGAAAAATCGGTTTACAGCTAAATTTATCGAAGACGATGCTCATGAGAAACGGGTTGGTTTCTGATGCCCCATTCACGCTCAACGGAACGACCATGTCTGAATGCTCTGCGCTATAGCATACCTCGGCTTCGTGAAGTCAATTTAATGAAGAGCCTTAGCACTAGAGCTGCAGCAAGGAGGCGAGCTGAGCGGCTTGGGCGAGCTTTCAAAGAACATAGGGAGCTAGCAAGACGAGAACACCCACGGCACCGTGCCACTTCTTGATTCCACGGGTCTTTCGCTGCTCTCGACTTACGCTACTCAGAGACTTGGAGCTCATTGAAAGCCAGAAATGAAACATGCGGTTAGCGTTATTCAATGCGGCCATCAAATCGGCGATAAGGGCTCGGAGTTTCCCGCCTACAACGGGATCGGGAGCCTCGCCCACTCCGCCGCGGGGTCGCAAATCAGAGACGCAGCCGCATTTGACAATTCTGAAGATAAGCATGTCATGCGTTCCGAAGACGACCGCCTGCCAGAGCTATTACGACTGGATCCCACGGGAGGTCAAAGCCTAATACCTCTACGCACGCCACGCGATAGTCAGACTCTTCGTGAAAGCCCTCGTTGAACGCAGTGGTATGGCATTCATCGTGTCTTTTCGAGGCAGAGCTCCACTGGCAACTCTTGCACGTTGGCAAAGCACGAATGGAGACGTTACTGGCACCTGCTCGAGGGACTTCGAAGACAACGGAAAGCCACAAGCATTTTTTTTCTATCCTTTTCCAAATATTTGATTAATACTCCTCCTCTATTATAAAGCCCTACCAAAACGACACTTGATCCTTACCTCTCCAACGTTGTTCTGCTGGCAGAAAGGCAAATTCCGCGAACAGACAGAACAATAACAAACAAAACGGAAGCAAGATATATACCATTTTTCACTTCGAAATCACCCTTTTCAAACCAAATTCACCCTTTTTCAAGTGAATTCATACGATGCGAGACGGGCGGAATGGACAAAACGCCTGAGCATTGACATAAATGAAAGACAGTAGTACGTGAAGTGTTCTCAAAACGCACTCGCTGCGTTGAAGACGTATTTCTCGGATCTAGTCCACGAAGAAAATAGTGCGCGTATAACGCCGGTTTCATCCCAGTTGCACCATCTTTTGCGCAGCTCATGGGAACATCCAGTCGCTCCACAGCTTACGCTTACGTGACGTCCATGTGGCCCCATGAATAACATTTGCGTATCAAGCTTGCTATTCAAAAAGCGACTTTTCATTATCTTTTCATATTGAAGAGGAGGATGATGCAGCGATCTTGAACGACAAAGTTTACACCTCGCTTTCGGAGACGGTCCTGTAATGTGCGCAGGCGAACGGGTCCGCTGCTGCAATAGAGCTCATCCCTTTTTCTCCGCTCATGGTGTACGGGAAGGGGCTGGAGGACTATGACACCCGGCTGTGACTCGGCACTATGCCCGCGCTAATGCATCGCCAGTCATACGCTCAACCATAGCCATGAATGCGCCGCTTGGTCTCTGCGCTCTATCACTTCTGGTTGTTCTCTACTCTTCTTTCAGCTGCTGGGTTTTAGCATCGTCACCGCAGCACCCTGAGGACAGCGCTTGCGGAGCATGCAATACGGCAAACAGAGTATCACCACCCGCCAGTCCCGTTCACTGTGCGTATTTTGAGCTGGAAAAACTGAGCACGCTACCGTGCAGATGCAACACTCCTTCAGCCTCGTATTGGACAGCGAACCGTTGCTCACAGGATGCAGGCTCGGGCAGCTTTTTTCCTTGCACACGCTGCTCACGTTGCTCATGTGCTGTCGTAGTAATGAAGGCTCACGTTTAATTGCCATAAGACAGGAGATCACAAGGATCTTTCTGATGAATGTGACGTGATGGAGAAAAGGAACTGAGGCAGGGATAGCCGAGTGGTTGAGAGTGTAGGCTGTATAGGCGCTATGAAAAGCCATGGCTCCGATCTCTGCCAAACATTCCAAAGAGTGCAAAATGGGGGAGTACTATCATCAGTTACGAAGGACAAGTACGATTAATATGCCTGGCGGGACGGGAATCCCGCAACCCTGAGCAGGCTCTGCGTAGCGCGTTTTCCAGGGGAGCGTCCACCGCGCCAGTCCGCCACAAATGGACGACCGTACCTGACGCTCGTATTGCTTTATTTGCAAAGTAAAATATGAAGCGAAGGGATTGGTATGAAGCGGCTGCGGTGCTGCATGGATATATGAGTACATACGTGCAGCCGTATCTACCGGTGGTCACTGGTAAGATACCGGAAGCTCGTCTGGAATTGCTTTTTTAGTTATTAAAATAAAGGCTTTTCTTCGTAGATTCTTGACCGTTTCACTTCGTTTTTTCGCCATTCCGTGATGCATGTTATGGCGAGTACTAAACTGTTGGGCCAACTGCCTTTGAGGTAAAAAAAATTTTGTGATTCGTCCACGGTTAAGACTTATAAGACGCTATGCGGTTTAGTCTGCTAGAACTAATCACAGAGTTTTATAGCAGGTTTAGTTTCAGCTCGCCTTGCATTTTGCTAGCCGCAGTATACGGTCCTCGACTATTGTACCGACATCCACTCGTTCCGAAGCCGGGGTTAGTCAACTTCCCTGAAAAAGGAAAGCATTGAGCTCTGTACCGCCTAGCACATCACTCAATAACAGTGAGTAGATGTGTCGTTAATAGGTCCCAACCATAAATTAAGCGCACGGTGCATACTGTAAGTTTGTTCGAAACCAGTGCTTTATTGGTTGTCCAAGTGTAAATGACATGAGCATCTCCTCGCTTGAAATTTTAGGTAATAAATGGAAAACCCACCTTCTGACACACACGGAAAGACACGGATAGAGGCGACAGCCCCGCTGAAATGGAGGCAAATACTCCTTGAAATATTGTCCCGCCCCTACCGTATACCCTTGACTCAATCGTCCCTCAATGTGCATGAAAAAAAATGGTTGCTTTGGTCGTACTTCTGTCGTGGTTTGTTGCGAACTTCAAACCTTCATAACTTTTTCAAAGTTTCCTAGGGTACATGGATACTCTTATATCTGTACTCACGTGCTATTTTAACGCACATGTATTCCACAAGTTTTTGATCTCATGTCCTGGTACTCCTAGACGCGCATTCATGCACCGGCGAGTTTAGGCTCCGCCCTTTTGGCCAGGCCCACTTGCTGTATGCGGAATTATGATATGTTTTCAAAATTTTGCATTTTTAAACTGCCCCGTGAACACCACTGTGAAAGGCCCCGCCCACTTTTCAAAAATGGTGCAAATCGGCAGTATAGAGCCTTGGCTTGCATGCTAGGGTCTCGTCCGTCACTCGGAACAAATAAATCAGGCAAAGTTTGTTCCTAATGACCAGCAATACCCTTGCCATGCAAGCCATGGCTCTATACTGCCGATTTGCACCATTTTTGAAAAGTGGGCGGGTTCTTCAAAGTGGGCGGAGCCTCACAGTGGGCGGGGCTTCATGGAGCAGTCCAAAAATGCAAAAATTTTGAAAAATCATCAAAATTCCGCAAAAAGCAAGCGGACTGGCGTAGCATATAACTCTAAATGCCGGTGCAATGAATGCGCCTACGCAGCACCCTTTGCTCGTACGTGAAGAGTGGACTGTGAAACTAAAAAGCTGGAAAAAGTTGCAAATTTGAGTCTTGCAAAAGAACGACCTTCACAAGAACGGCGCGGAGTTTAGTCTACTTGTTGGAAATGCTCGATGTCCCGCGCTACAAGTAGGCGGGGAGGTCGCGCGGCACGGTCGCGGGTGGTGTCTGGCGTGATTGGTGTGAACTGCCTGCGTCTAACCAGGAAAGGCTCAACAGATCGTCAGCCAGCATTTGCAATGCAGATGCACATCACTGTGCCTCATCTTTATGTACGCCTGAACTTCAGTAACAACTGCCTTCAGAATTTGCAGAACGATTCTCTTGAGCGGAGTTATTGAGGTTTTTCTTTACTGTTTTTCTTCTTACGGGCGCGCTGGCACCGA